TCAATCTTGCGTACTCCAATTGGATTCAAAAGGATCAAATGTTGTTGTCCTGGCTTCAATCTACACTTTCCAGTGAGATTCTCTCACGTGTGCTTGATTGTTCTCACTCTCATGAACTGTGGGATCGTCTTTTTAGCTAGTTTCAGAAACAAACTCATGCTAGAGCACGCCATCTGCGTGTTAAATTACGTGCTCTTACGCTTGACACTCTTTCTGTTCAAGACTATCTATTGAAGATTCGTACCATTGTTGATGCGCTTGCCTCCATTGGTGATCATATTCCAGTCTCTAATCACATTAATGTTATCCTTGAAGGCTTGCCTGTTGAGTTTGCTCCAGTTGTGTTTGTGGTTGAAAGCAAATTTGGCGTTATGGACATTAATGAAGTGGAGATTCTATTTTTGGCTCATGAGCTGCGTCTGAACAAATTCAAGAAGCAGCCAATTCCAGATTTGGTCTCTCTTAACCTAACTCATGTTGTGCCTCAGTCACCAACAACAGATGAATCTCAAGCACCTGTCACTGATTCTTCCTCTGCTCAGTCTGGTCATTCTAACCAAGTGTTGAATTATCAACCTTTTAGAGGTGGAAAAGGTCATCGTGGTGGTAGATTTGGCCGTGGAAGAGGTGGCAGATCCTCCAACTCTAACATCAGTGCCAAGTTTGCTCCAAATCTGGCCATTCTGCACTACAGTGCTGGCACAGGTTCAACTATCAATTCCAGCCTACTGGTGCAAGCTATGTGCAACTTCAGTGGCAAGGTGCTCATGCATATTACACTCAAACACCATCTCAAGCTTCTCCTTATTATGTGTGGTCCAGGCCACCTGCTGTGTCTCCTTATCCTCCTAACATCACACAACCTCCAAGTACCTTTGTGGCAAATGCTTTACCATCCACATCAGGTTCCTGGTTTCCTAATTTTGGAGCTTCATATCATATCACCAGTTGATGCAAAGAACTTGCAACAAGTGACTCCTTTTGAAGGACATGACCAGACTTACATTGGTAATGGACAAGGTTTGGCCATTCAATCTACTGGTTCCAGCTCCTTTCCTTCACCTTTTCACCCCACCACATACCTCACTCTCAAGAACTTACTACATGTTCCTGCTATCACTAAAAATATGCTTAGTATTAGTCAGTTTTCTAAGGATAATCATATGTATTTCTTATTCTCAGCTGACAAGTGTCTTGTTAAATGTCAGGTGTCTGATGCCACTCTTCTAGAAAGTCATGTAGGAGCTGATGGACTTTGAGTTTTCTTTCATTGATGTGTCACAATCTACTAAGTCTTTGTTGCATTCTACTATTTTTTTTCTCCCAATAATGTTGCACCTAATGCCAATATTGTTTCTCTTTCTATTAGTTCGTCTTACATGTGGCATCTTAGGTTAGGACACCCTAACAATCATGCTTTAAAACTTGTTTTGTTTTGCAACATTATAATGTTCATTTTAGCCATAAAACTTGTGATTTGTTCTATTCTGCTTGTATGGGTAAATCCCACAAATTACATGCTCCCACTTCACACACAGTTTACATAAAACCCCTTGAACTTGTTTATACTGACCTATGGGGGCCCTCACCCAAGGCCCCTGCCTCTGGTTTTCTGTATTATATGTCTTTTGTGGATGCTTACTCTAAGTTTACTTGGATCTATCTTCTTAAAGCTAAATCTGAAGCTATTTTTGTATTTCAAAAGTTTAAAACAATGGTTGAACTACAACATGAGTTACCTATTAAAGATGTTCAGTCTGACTCGGGGTGAGTTCAGACCATTTACAAAATATCTCACTGATTTGGGTATTATCCATCGCCTTATCTGTACACACACACACACCACCAGAGTGGTGTCATTGAAAGAAAGCACAGGCACATAGTGGATTTGGGGCTTACCTTGCTCAGTCAGGCTTCCCTTCCTTTACCTTGCTCAGTCAGGCTTCCCTTCCTTTAACCTACTGGGATTATGCCTTCTCCACTATTGTATACCTTATTAACAGGCTTCCACCTGCCTCTATTAATTTTAAGGTTCCCTACACTCTTTTATTTCATCAGCAGCCTGATTACAAGTTTCTCAATGTCTTTGGTTGTGTTTGTTTTCCTCGCTTAAGACCTTATCTCTCTCAGAAACTTATCTTTAGATCTCAAGAATGTCTCTTTCTAGGATATTCCACATCACATAAAGGCTATAGGTGTCTAGCTCCTAACGGCAGGCTATACATCTCAAAGGATGTCCTATTTAATGAGTCTAGGTTTCCCTATCTAGATTTATTTTCTTCATTCAGACCTAGTTCTGCTCCCAGTCACAGCACTTCCTTGGCACCTCATTACTCTAGCCCCCTGTTGAGTTCTCTTACTCCACACACCACCACTACAAAGCCTCATATCTCTAGTCCCTCAAATGACCTCACACCTGCCTCTCCTGCTCCCTCGTCAGTTAATGCTCCTACCCCTACATCTTCTGTTCCTGAAAATTCATCACCCACTAGTGGTTCTGCAGCATCTTCATCTACTGCTGCCAACAACTCCTCAGGGACTTTCTCTAGTCAGGCTGACTCTTCATCCAGCTCATCTCCAATCACTGAACCTGAGTCACATGTCCCTCCTAATGCTATTCTTGTGGCTATTATCCCTCAGAATTCTCATCCTATGAAAACAAGAGCCAAATCTGGATTCACTCAACCAGGACTGGATCCTAGGGTGCTTATTACTCACTCTGAGCCTAAATGTGTTAAAAAGGCTCTTGCTAATTTGCATTGGAAGGCAGCTATGCAGGATGAATTTGAAGCCTTACAGAAAAATGCCACGTGGTCTCTTGTGCCCTTACCTCCTAACAAGAATGTCATTGGCTGCAAGTGGGTCTTTAGGCTTAAGGAAAATCTTGATGGCACCATCAACAGATACAAGGCCAGATTGGTGGCCAAAGGATTTCATCAAAGGTATGGACTAGATTTTAGTGAGACCTTTTCACCTGTTGTGAAGCCTATTACTATCAGGATAATACTCACTATTGACATTACTCACAAATGGTCCATTCAACGGTTGGATGTAAATAATGCGTTTCTCAATGGACTGCTTGATGAAGAAGTTTACATGGAACAACCTCCAGGATTTGTTCACTCCAATTCTACCTTGGTTTGTAAACTCAACAAGGCCTTATATGGCCTAAAACAGACTCCTAGGTAGTGGTTTGAGAGACTGCAATCAGCTCTTTTCAAACTCAATTTTAAAGCCAGCAAGTGTGACCGCTCTCTTTTCACATACTTCTCCAAAGGGCACTTCCTCTATCTACTGGTTTATGTAGATGACATTATTCTCACTGGCAGTTCTACTACTCTTCTCAATGAGGTAATTCAAAAGCTTAATTTTTCCTTCTCCCTCAAGCATCTAGGGGATCTTGACTATTTTATGGGTATTGAGGTTAAGCAGTCAGCTAATGGTTTTATGCTTCTCACTCAAACTAAGTATCTTAGAGACTTACTGCAGAAAACTAACATGTTAGAAGCCTGTTCTGTCAGCACACCCATGCAGTCCACCTACAAACTTACCAAAACTGGGTCTGCAGCCTTTTCTGATCCTTATATGTACAAGTCTGTGGTTGGTGCCTTGCAGTATGCTACTATCACCAGACCTGATTTGACCTATGTTGTTAACAAAGTGTGCCAGTTTATGTCACATCCCCTTGATTCTCATTGGCAGGCTGTCAAGAGGATTCTCAAGTACTTGAAAGGTACCCTTCATCATGGTTTATCTCTCACTCTTCTTTCCCCTCTTCCTTTGCCACCAAGTGAACTACAACCTCCTTAAAAGGAGTTGAACTCAAGTTCAGTTGATTGTGGTGGAAGTGGATCACGCGAGAGGAGACTGGTGGAAGTGGATCACGCAAATTAGGAGACTAGTCAGAATTATCATGGTAGGTGAAGATGAATTGTGAGTTAGGCTCAGTGAATCAACATCTGTTATGTTTGTTTCTTGAACTTCTCCAACCAAATTTCACAAGCATGATGCAGAACTTCGACTTCATCTAAATCCATAACAATAAATTTGCCTTCAATCATTGTGACTAAGGGTACAAATTCAGATGGTAAATCTTCCAAATAACATCAATATGATGACTATTAGGAATATCACCAATCAAAACGAGAGCATCAACAGTATTACGAATGTGAAGGAGATAGTCTCGTACAGTTGAATTGACGAGTGTGTTGGATCGGAGCTCGTCACAAAGGTGTCGCACCTTGGCACAAGTTTGTTTGTGAAAATAGGAAAAAAAGACAATCCCAAAGCTCATGAGTATGAATGCAACCAAGAACATGTGTGAGAATCTCATTCGATAGCATTGACTGAAGCCAAGAAAATAACATTTCATCACGCGTGCGAAAAGATACAAGGTTGGATTGAGTTTCGCTGCATGGCAATCTTCGTCTATGAGGAATTTGATAGGAACACGAGAACAAACTACAATTCAGTTAGATTGTGAACATTGACGTATGGTTCAACTAGTTGAAGCCATAGATGGAAGCTTTCTTTTGTCAATTTTCTGAAATTTTTAGAGAGTGAAGTGCAAGGAAGATGAGTACACTTCTAAAGAAGCTTGTGAATTAAGTGACACGTTGGAACCTTGCAACATAAGTATGGTGGAGGAGGTGGTGGGGGAGTGAGATCAGCCAGGATCGGTGTTCAGCTAACTGAAATCATATTAGAAACTATAGTGTGGATTCTTAGATCCATATTAACTGATTTTCATTTATTGAAATTGGCTACAAAAGTAGTTACAACACTTGCATGTATATGAGCAAAGTGTGACCTGCTGTAGCAGGTGGCTAGCTATATAATAAACAGACTTATGTCAGTCATCAGAACAGTTGTCATAACTAACTTATAGTTAGTTATGCAATATTCTCAAATTTATCACCGAATGTAGTATTTACATTAAATTTGGAGATCAATAATGACTACTAGCAGTTATGCATTAAACAAACTATGAAACCACTTACTCTCTGAGTCGCTCTATGTGTGGCCTCTGACTTTCAACAATAGCCTTTAAAGCAGTCTCTCGGTCCAATGTCTGAAAAATAGATCTTGTTGTGACTAGAGTGAAATTTTCTTTGATATAACAATGTATAACATGCATGTACAAAAATCAAAAACAAAATACATTTCACTGCTCCAATATGACAAAGAACCCATTTCGTATTTAGATTATTTCATAGACAAATCAGTTATTTTAACTGAAAATCATTTTTAGTGGATTTTGTTGAAGTTGTTAGTTTTAGATTAAAAAAATGAAGCAATAAATTATAGCTAATATTTGGATATTGAACTTATACAAAAAATTAAATACTAATCCCTAAGTATTAGGACACAAGACTCCTAATCCAAATAAATGAAAAATATGAAAGAAATCATGATATTAAGTAATATAAAACTAATCCTATGTGATAAACTAAGATACTCTATGATTAGACACCAGTCAAAAAAGATAATCTAGAATACTCTAAAATTAATAAGTGTTATGAGTTCCACATTTGATGAGATATGGTATAACAATGTGTTTATAAGTAGGGATAATCTTCACCTTACAAGTCGGTTTTGTAAGGTTCAATTAGGTCTCTTAGAATGTGTGATTGAGCCTAACTCGACCCTATAAAACCGGTTTGTAGAGTGAGGATTGCCCTCATTTATAAGCACATGTTCAGGTCATATATTGTCCGATGTGGGAGTCTTAACACCCCCTCTCACGTCCAGGGTGAACGTCTAGAGCGTGGAACTAAATGGTGGGTGGCCTGATAGCGGAGTGGTCCAACGGATCTTAAACCGGGCTCTGATACCATCTTAGAATGTGTGATTGAGCCTAACTCGATCCTACAAAACCGGTTTGTAGGATGAAGATTGCCCTCACTTATAAGCACATGTTCAGCCCATATATTGTCCGACGTAGAACTCTTAACAAGGTTCAACATAAACACTAATATGGTATCTAGTCCTCAGCATTAGGGGAGTGTTAAGAGTTCCAAATTTTATGAGATAGGGCACTACAACTTATTTATAAGTGGGGGTAATTCTCACCTTAAAAGTCGGCTTTGTAAGGCTGAAATAGTCTCAACCCAAACTCTAATATGATACCAAAACCTATCCAAGATTTGTTTGACCACCTCTTATGAGATTCCCGCTATCGGGTCACTTAGGTTACGCTCCAGATATCCAATCAAGAACGTTATGTTGTGTGTCAAAAGTTCTGCATTAACACACTACGTCAAGTTTATACATGTAGTGAGATTCGGCCTCTTCTGAAAACAGCCCGTTCTCACCAACTTTTTTGTCACTCTTCTTCATCTCATTGGTTGACTGCTGGACATACAGTCTTACCATCAACCAATGACTCTTATCTCCAAAATGTCAATTTTCACCAATGTCTCATTGATTCCAAGAATCCATTATCTCTCGCCTCTACTGATCCATCTTTTGATCCTATACCGTCCTGGCATCTAATTCCTTCTACATCATACACATGATCTCCAATCTCTCCTAAGATTGATTTCTTGTGCATAGAGATTTCTTCCGCCACAGTGGGTTTGTCCTTGGTTTTCAAATGAACAATAATTTCTTTGATTTAATTAATTGCAAATCTTGACTGTAGTTTAAGTGCATCCAGCTTGGCTGTGGTTTTGCTATAGCTAAAAGCTCCGATGTTGCCACCTGTCTTTCCGGGGCAAGGAGTGGCATCTTATTTCAGACCAATTGGTTAGGATCCCAAGATTATAAATGAAAAGAATAAACATTTTACTGAATGATTGAGAAAGGATAAAAAAGAATAGGAGAGAAATCTCTCCTCTAACTACTCTATTCACATATGCTTACAATACTTAATAAAGATCACTCGTCTAGTATTTTTCTATATATACAAATAACCTTATAACAATCTCAACAAACTATTCTAACAACTCTTAACTACTCAAATTAGTCATGATTCTATATCCTATCAGGGAGAACTAGGCTTTCTAACTCCTAGCAGGTTACTACCGGTTGCATTTCTCCATTTCTCTATTGTATTTCCTATATTCCTTTGTAACTCATCTCTATCATAAAACAATTCCTGGCGTTTAATCAATAAAATCAGAGGAATTATTCAGTTATATGAGTAATTTTTGACATATTCAATCATATGAATCTTGATAGTCCATAGAGGAATAGCATGCGTCCAACAACAATATCAACCAAGTTTTATCCCACTAAGTGAGGTCGGCGACATGGATCAAACTACGCCACAATGTTTTATCTAAGAGACTAAGACCGTGTTTCTTCTTTAATCTCGAAATATTTTTTAATAGTTTCCCTTATAATTTTTCTAGGTCTTCCTCTACCTCTAGTTGTTTGACTCTTCTCCATCTGATCTACTCTTCTTACAATAGAATCTACGGGTTTTCTCTCTACATGCCTAAATCACTTAAAGCTTATTTTCTACAATCTTTTCTGCTATAGGAATAGCCTACATCCAAGAGGAATAAAATAGAAAGTCATGTTGCTTGTAGAATACATGTTTTACTTCCACCATTAACATGGAGCATTGAAATGACTTGCCAACAGTAGATACAAGAATTCAATTACCAATCTGAGAAGTTAATACACAAATGGAAAACAAACATGCCCCTGCAACAATGGAGGGCTTCTCAATTATGGGTTGTCTCAGAACCACAAGGATTGGGTTGGGTTCCTATCGTATTCCATCTGCTCCTCTTGCACAAGAGAACGATTGAATTAGGAGAGACTAAGAGACATTTAGGTTAAACCGTGTGTCATGAAATCACTACGGAGACTTTATTATATATAGAGAGATTATAACTAATTACACTATATAATCGATGTGGGACTATTCTACATACAAATATTCTTAACATTATATATTTACAAATATCAACACTCCCCCTCAAGCTGGAGCATATAAGTCAAATGCACCAAGCTTGCCACATATATAATTAGTTATGGGGCTTCGCAGAGATTTTGTAAACACATCTGCCAATTGATCATTAGAGTTGACAAAGCTTGTGACGATGTCGCCAGATTCGATCTTCTCTCTGACAAAGTGACAGTCTATCTCAATATGTTTGGTCCTCTCATGGAAGACTGGATTTGAAGCAATGTGCAATGCAGCTTGATTATCACATACAAGTGTCATTGGTCTTGCTTCTTCAATTTTAAGTTCTTTGAGCAACTGTTTTAACCAAATGAATTCACATGTTGCCATTGCCATGGCCCTATACTCTGTCTCGGCGCTTGATCTTGCAACTACATTTTGTTTCTTACTTTTCCAGGATATAAGATTTCCTCCAACAAGTACACAATACCCAGAGGTGGATCGTCTATCAATTGGTGACTCTGCCCAATCAGCATCAGAGTATCCAACTATCTGAGTATGTCCTTTATCTTCATGCACTAAACCTTTTCCTGGAGCACATTTGATGTATCTTAGAATCCGGATAACAGCATCCATGTGTTCCTGACAAGGGGAATTTAAGAACTGGCTTACCACACTGACTGCAAAAGAAATGTCTGGACGAGTGACTGTGAGATAATTCAACTTTCCAACCAATCTCCTATACCTTCCTGAGTCTGATAGAGACTCCCCCTGATTGGATAGTAGTTTGACACTTGGATCCATAGGAGTATCAACTGGTTTAGCGTTCAACAAACTTGTTTCTTCCAAAATATCCATAGCATATTTCCGCTGAGAAATCACCAAACCATCTTTAGATTGGGCTACCTCAATACCCAAGAAATACCGGAGTTTACCAAGATCCTTTGTCTGAAATTGATTTGAAAGATGTTGTTTCAACTGGAGTATTCCCGACTCATCACTACCAGTTATGACAATATCATCTACATACACAATAAGATAAATACACCCTTGTACTGAGTGATGATAAAAGACAGAATGGTCAGCTTCACTACGGACCATACTAAATTATTGTACTACAGTGCTGAATCTGCCAAACCAAGCTCTCGGAGATTGCTTAAGACCGTAAAGAGACCTGTGTAGCCTACAAACCATATTCGATGACTCCCCCTGAGCAACAAACACAGGTGGTTGCTCCATATATACTTCCTCTTCAAGATCACCATGTAAAAATGCATTTTTGATGTCAAGTTGATGAAGAGGCCAATGTCGAATGGCTGCAATGACTAGAAGAAGTCTAACAGATGCCATCTTGGCTACAGGCGAGAAAGTATCACTATAATCCAACCCAAAAATCTGAGTGTATCCCTTGGCTACCAAGCGAGCTTTAAAACGACCAATCTTACCATCTGGACCAACCTTCACTGTATAAAGTCAACGACAACCTACTAAAGATTTTCCAGTGGGTAGAGGAACCAGTTCCCAGGTACCACTGCTTTGAAGAGCACACATTTCATCAATCATTGCTTGCCTCCACTCATGGTGAGATAATGCTTCACCTGGAGATTTAGGAATAGAAACAGAAGACAAAGAGGACAAACAAGTATACTGCAAATGGGAAAGACGATGATAACATAAATCAATATAATGTGGAGAAGGATTTCGTGTTTGACGTATACCTTTGCGAAGGACAATCAGAAGATCAGACTCAGGTTGCAGGATCGAATCCGGTGATGGCGATAGCGTCGGAGGAGAGTCTGCAATGACCTCAGGGACAGGTACGACCTCAGGGACATGTACAACCTCAGGGACAGGTATGACAGACGTTGGTTTACGACGCTGATATGTTTGAAGTGGACGAGAAGTGGGGGGGTCAACCGTAGGGGTTTCTCGTGGGACAGGTTCCCTAGAATTATGGGGAATAATGGGAAATGGGACGTCCGGAAGAGGTGTGGGAGTACTTTCCTGAAGGAGTTCCGGAATGACTTGGGTGGAAATATGGCACAGACTCGAAGAAGGTAACATCGGCCGATATCAGGTATCGTTGCAGAGTGTGTGAGTAGCAACGATAACCCTTTTTGGATCGATGATAACCAAGAAAAACACACTTTAGTGATCGAGCTGATAGTTTATCAAGACCAGGGGAGAGATTATGCACAAAACATGTTGATCAGTCACCATTTTAGTTAGTATTTCACCATTTTAAAAAGTAAGAATTCAGGTAAACTGTTTGATTTAAC